CTCCCACCAACACCTCGTCTCAGTAGCGTATCCTAGGTCAGATCAGCGAGTTTGGACTATTCCAGGCACCACAGTGGTTGTTCCTGAATGTGTTTTGCTCTCGTTACATAGCTCATCGCTCTAGTGATGAAAGTCTCGCCATGTGATAAAGTAAATGGCTAGTAAGGATGAGTTCATCGTTTACACATCAACACACTTTAGAATTGGGTAAGAGAGATGAATGAGAGTTTTAAAACCTACAGAGACACATTACTGAAAATTATATAAATTCTGTGATTGTCACACAGTTTATTTTTCTTTGTATTCCTCATGAATTTCTTCCATCCCCACTGTTCTGCCTGGAGATAGTAAACTAATCAGCCACTATAGCCAGGAAGGCTGTGAACAATTTATGACCAGGCTACGGTCATAATTTCCCACCACATGTTAGGAGGGGTACTAAGGGGGACTTCCACCTGCCTGTGTCCTCTCTACAGGGAGGCATACAGTCTGCAGTAAGCTCTGTTCATCCTGTGGTGGTCAGTTATTGTGCAACTGGTAGTCAGTTGTTGGGAGATTTAGAAATATGTACCTGTGACTAATTTTATGCTTAAGTAATTTACTTCCAGTTTTTAAATAGGTATCTTTAAGTAGGTTGTGTAATGGTTATGATACTGGAATAGTAGGAGCCCTGGGCTAAAAATCCAAAAAATGTGTGCCAAATCCCAACATTGCAGTTTATATTTAAAAACAAAATGAAACTAAAAAGCAAGAATTAGATGAAGGAGCAATGTATGTATTCGGCCCATCGAGTCAATTCTGCTATTCAATGAGATCGTGGGTGATCTACTAACCCTCAATTCCACTTTCCTGCCTTATCCCTTATAGACGTTGGTCCCCTTGCTGATTAAAAATCTGTCTGTTTCAGCCTTGAATATACTTGACAACTCAGCCTCACCAGCCCTCTATGGTAAAGCATTCTGTAGATTCACCATCCTCTGAGAGAAGAAATTCCTCATCAGCTCTGTCTTAAATGTGCTACTCCTAATTCTGAGATAATACCCTCTGGTCCTGTATTGTCCCACACAATAACCCCTCTACCCTTTTGAGTCTCCTAAGAGTCCTGTTTGATTCAGTAAGTACTCCTCTAATTCTCTTAAAGTGCAATGAGTACAAGCCCAACATACTCACCCTCTCATCTTAAGAAGATCCCTCTACACCTGGGATCAACCTAGTGTAGCTTCTCTGGACTATCTC